TCTTTAAGCATGTGCCTGTGACCTGAAATTTGACCTCTGGCGGAAAGTAGCAGCACTAAAATGGGACGCAGATTCAGAGTTCCACATGAAGCGATTAATAATAGAAATATTACAAATGTAAAATTAGGTGAGCAGATTACATTGTAACCCCGTGTCCTAACAACACGCAATTGTGCTGTTTGCACTAGACGAAGCACGACAGAAATGTAAATACAGCCATTCAGAAACACAGAATAGTGCACTTTAGTGAAATGGTAAGGTTTTTATTCTAATTAACACATATTAAACTCAATGGTGTAGAATTAGCATGGATGGAAGGGGACGTGTCCCCACCAATATCCACAGATTATTAAAATGTCTCCACTGATAAGTTAATCGCCTCCAAAATAAATGGCTTTCTCAAAATTACTGTGCAAGACTCAGGTTAGACATGGACATAAGCGGCTATATTTCAAAGAAAAGTGTCAGTCACCGCATAAATTATAATAAATAAATAAAACAGTATTCAAGTACAGCAATTAAACAACCAAATGTAAAATAACATGGTCAACAATGTATGAATAATAAAAAGTGTATAACATTTAACAATAGCTTTATTATTTACTTAGTAATGAATCATATAATGTGACTACTGCGGATACACCCAATGCGATATCGATGCTCAAACGACATATTGTTCAGCTCTAGTTTGTATGCACTCACTCATAGGGAATATTCCGGAACACAATATGGTCCAGCAGGGTGATTTGTTCTGCTAGCTCCATTGCAGATAGTGACTCAAAGCATTCGGCCCTCGGACAGTCCACCTAGAGAACACAAAATAAAGTAGTGCTTTCAAACTATTAATCACGATTAATCACATCCAAGGTAAAAGTGTGTATTTACATAATATATACATGTGTACTGTGAATATTTATGAATATATGTTTAAGTACACACACATACTGTACGTAAAATACAAAAATATATTACAATTAATATATTTACATTTATATATAATTTGTATTATATATATATATATATATATATATATATATATATATATATATATATATATATATATATATATATATATATATATATATATATATATATATATATATATATATATATATATATATATCTAC